TGTCTCACCTCAGGGAACCAATTCATTTATGAACTGGTAATTTATGAAATTTTCAATCAAAGGATGAATTTGTACAAAGTTTGAAAGTGACTCTTTTCCATGCATTATAATGAATGGGGACCATTGCTCTCAAACTTCAAAACGGATGAAAAAACACCATATCAGCTGTCAAGAGATTCAATTTTTGAGTGAACTATTCCCTAAAGAATTTTTATTGAAATTTAAATGGAATAAGAACCAAAATTGTTCAATTCTTTACTATTCCCATACAGGGGAATTACAGGGTGTTTGTCCCAGTGGAGGGACAGGTATGGGTTTGTATACCCATGTGGCTCTTCCAGAGGTGGGTGAGATGTCAGGTGTGATGCTATTCTGGAGCAAATCAGTCAGCTATGAGGATATCGTCCTTTAGGGCATTTGTGAGGCAGTGTGTTTCAGTGGAAGGAGTAAAACAAGAATGGAAAGAAAAATGGTGCTCAAAGAGAAAAACAGACCTGAGTAAACAAAGTGGGGGATTTCAGATAAAGACCAATAGATTTTTGATTGTTCAGGAAATGAGATCTCAGGTCAGTAGTTTGCAGGTGTTATGCTGTGAGGACAGCTTGAGCCACAGGAGTCCTGACCCTTCAATCCAGAATGGCGTATACCTGTATTGCAGTATGGAACAAAGCTGAACACCATTATACAGAGCAAACAAAATGCCGCAATTTGTTAAATTTGAAACACCACAGTTTGCTTAATTCAAGTCAGTCTACACAATTTGTGCCAATGAAAAACAATAACTTGGTTACAGATTCCAGTGCAGGAGCGTATTTGTTTAATAGGTTCAGTATATTCATGAAATCTATGTTAAAGGCTATTTGCTTTCTTGAATGACAGTGAACACCCCTACTCATCCTTCCGAAGCACCGAAGAGCTTGTTTCCCCAGTCTGGATTATGACAGGGTGAATGGCTTTTGCTTTCTGCCTTGTAACTGAATACAAAAAAGAGTTCTGTTTGTAGTAACTTAAATTTCCAGTTTGAAGCTGCTCAGAATTTTGTGCTCATCTCTGATGGATAATTCATCTGAAAGCTCCTTCATGGGCTCTTTGCTCTGTGTTGTCTTTCGTGCCTATCAGCCATCATTGTTTTTCCAGAGCATGTTGTGCATATGTTTATTCTTGTCATGGCTCTACTGGGAAATCTGTCGCACGCAATTCCCAGCACACCAATTAAAACACCTGCCCATTGACATGAACTTACACAGATCACATTACACACCCAGATGAAACCTGCTGCCGTGCATGCCACAGACATGCACATATACCCAAACTCCCAACACAGCGCCGCGACTCTGGCACGCGATTCTGCCCGCTTCAACTCCCTCGTGACAGTCCGTTTACTCTGGCCTGACAAGACACAGGGATTATGTCATCATACATGTAGTTATTATCAGGCATGTGCGTGTGATGCAGTTTTGGGGGATGAGTGTGCTTTTAACTGTGTTAGAGCATCTCCTTCCTCTCATCACTGTCACTGTTGTTTCTATAGTAACAGTGCAGGTCTGTTCTCAAAATTACTTTTAGATGATGTATCAGTGGTTTACACCTGTATGGTTTACACTCTCTATCCTAATGGATAAACCTGTATCAGATGAGTATTACAAAGTATTACTCATTTACCATACACTCACATGCATCTTTGAAATAATACACTATAGGCACTTTGGGACCTATATGCTTAACGACCATTATATCTGTTTTTAGAAAAGCGTTTTATTCCAGATTAAGTTTAAGGTTATCAATAATTCAAATAAACACACACTTTCTGTCAAGAGAAAGCCAGCTTAATGTTTTCTCCATACTAGTTAAATTTGCCCTCAGTTATCATTTCACTATGAAGTGTTTACATGTTAATTTTTAATATCTCAAATGTCTGGGCATGACATGTTAAATGAAAATGCATAGATAATTGCATGCTTTGAAACACTGGCTATTTGATGTGTTTTGCACAAGATGGGCTTTTAGATGATGTATCAGTGGTTTACACCTGTATGGTTTACACTCTCTATCCTAATGGATAAACCTGTATCAGATGAGCTCACTGAATCAAAGTATTACTCATTTACCATACACTCACATGCATCTTTGAAATAATACACTATAGGCACTTTGGGACCTATATGCTTAACGACCATTATATCTGTTTTTAGAAAAGCGTTTTATTCCAGATTAAGTTTAAGGTTATCAATAATTCAAATAAACACACACTTTCTGTCAAGAGAAAGCCAGCTTAATGTTTTCTCCATACTAGTTAAATTTGCCCTCAGTTATCATTTCACTATGAAGTGTTTACATGTTAATTTTTAATATCTCAAATGTCTGGGCATGACATGTTAAATGAAAATGCATAGATAATTGCATGCTTTGAAACACTGGCTATTTGATGTGTTTTGCACAAGATGGCACAACATCGGACTGATCTTTGAGAAAGCAGATTGCTCCATATCACTCACAAACTCAGTTTCCGAGGAAAGAGGCAATGAACGTAATTAAAATGCAATGTGGTTATTTTGTCATGATATGATAGATTTTGTCAGTATGTTGTTATGATACTTGAAATTTTGCCTCGGTTGCATCCCATTTCTCTGAATCATCTTTGAGATGTTTTAAGGTCTAATAGCTGAAAATACATATCATAGCAAGAATCAAGCTATGAGGTCAAAGGCACAGGTATGTGTCGAGATTTGAGGAAGGCTAAAAAAAACTGCTCCGTTAAAGGTTTCCAAGAGCACTGTGGGATCCATAATTCTTAATGAAAGAATTTTGGGACAAGCAGAACTCATCCTAGAGCTGGTCTCCCGGCCAAACTGAGCAATCAGGGGAGAAAGAACAGAGACCAAGAACCTGATGGTGACACTGGTTGAAATATTGGTGCTTTTAAATGAAATTTCAGTCACAGTTTAAAGTGTTTGTACATATTCAGGATGTGCAGAACTACCAATTTTCATAACAGGCCAGTCGGTGGATTATCTGAAGGACTGGAAGCATTGCACTTCAGCAGGGTCACTTAATTATATTGATCACATAGGCTGAATGAATATAACATGTTATTTTTAGAGAAAGAAATAAAGGCTTCCAGACGGAGTGGCACTAAACTGCTTATGAGCATCCTGAAAGCAGAACTACGTGAATCAGTGTAACCAAAGGTGCTTTAGGTTGATCCTTACTCCTCATTCAAATGTGCAGAACTGTTCAAGTGGACTGTGCATGTCATTCACCAATATTGTTATTACTGTCATCCATTCTGATTATAAATTTGAGTAAAAAATGGGCCTTCTCAATATCTATACTACCGGTTAAAAGTTTGGAATAATTACGATTTTTAATGTTTTGGAAGAAGTCTCTTTTGCTCCCCAAGACTGCATTTATTTGATCAAAAATACAAAACAGACAATAATATTGTAACATTTTATTACAGTTTAAAATAACTATGTTATGTTTGAACATATTTACAAATTTACACATTCACATGATCCTTCAGAAATCATTCTAATATGCTTATTTAGTGCTCAGGTATCATCATTTATTACTAGTGCTCTGTTAAAGGGATAGTTCACCCAGAAATTAAAAATTGCTGTTCATTTCCTCACCCTCAGGCCATCCAAGATGTAAGTGACTTTTTTTCTTCAGTAGAAGAGTAAGGAAGATTTTTAGCTGAAACCGTGCTTCTTGGTGATTTATCAAATGCAAGTCCGCAGCTTCCTGTGTTTGAGAATAAAAATAAGCATAACAAGAAACACAAATTTAATCTCTGTGGTTCCTGATGATATATTGAGGTCTTATGAAGCTAAGCGATCGGTCTGCGCAACAAACTATTTACAGCATTATTACCTGTACTAGTTTGTTTACGTAATCACGCAATGACATCATGTATATGCAGTTATATTATTAAAGCACCCGGTGATGATGTGAAACGTGGATGTTTTGCATGTCTAAAGCAATTAAAGTGAAAAAACTCATCCTTATCAGCTCACCTTTTTACAAAAACAAAGAGAAACCATAAAAACATTAATTTGGCCCCTTCATTCAAATGTTTGGTTCACGCATGCGCATTTCACCGGCTTATCGGTCTTCTGTCAGAGTTTCCTCAGTTCAGTGACTGTTGGAGGAACTGGAGCGCTGAATGAGTTCATTCATCATGGGGTCAGATATGCCACTATTTTGGCTCATTTCCAGTCGGAGTGACCGTCGGGCTCTGAAAGTGAGTTTTGATTGAGTAACTTGTAGATGAGTTATAAAATACAATTCTGAGGGGGAAAAAAAATTCTTACAATTGCGAGTTTATATCTTGCACAACTCTCACTTTTTTTCTCAAAATTGTGAGTTTAAATCTCACAATTCTGACCTTTTCTACTGCAATTCTGATTTTATTTCTCAGAATTTTGAGTTTACATCTTGCAATTCTGATCTCTAAACTCATAACTTGTGATTGTGAAATTCAGAATGTTCAGAATTTATGTTTTTCCAGTGGCGGAAACGGGGTTCCATAGTCTAAAACTGTGACTAAGATGAAGATCAGACCACATTTTAAGAACAATCAATGTAATTAACTGTATAAGTTGTTAATATGATATGATTATAATAATTTCATGTTGTATATTGAATGTTAATTTGGTCACACTTTAGTCCGGACTGATTCTCATGATTAACTAACTATTAACTACGACTTTTGTCTCAATAAAGGGATCTATAATGTATCAATAAATTAAAGGATCTAAAATGTGGTCATGCAGAATAAGGCATTAATATGTGGTTTATAAGTACTAATATACAGCCTATATGCTAGTAATATGCATGCTATTAAGCAACTGGTTAACAGTGAGAATTGGTCCTTAAATTAAAGTGTTACCATTAATTTCAACCAAATATTCCAGACTTCTTCATTATTAGTTATGTAAAAGAGGGCATCAATTTAACCTCAAGTGTCAACCTTTTTGTGTCTCTTTGTTTTTCTCCAGGTAAAGGGCTACATTGCAGCTATATTTAATGTGGGCACAGATGACATCAACATCGAGGAGAAAGCAAAGTTTGTAAATGATGGAAAGTACCATACAGTGAAGTTCACAAGAAGTGGTGGCAATGCCACGCTGCAGGTGGATGATCTACCTGTTATTGAGCGCTACCCCACAGGTGAGAACATCACTTACCACCTCAACAACACCTGCCTGAGCTGAGAAGGTTACTGGATGATTGTTTAGTTGACATGACTTTGTCTGTGAATGCTGCAAGTTTGTGTTTGCATTGAATTCTTCTACTATGAACATAAAAAGTATGCTTATTTCACCTGTTAGTTAACTGGGTGTAGCACTTACAGTTTTGTAATACAATTCAATTTTGTTCATAATTTAATGGAAAGATGGACCAAAGACTCAGGTATACTTCATTTTAAATGTTCCGCTCCGCCTCACACACAGCATGCAAGCCTTTTAAGGTGCTTTCACACCTGGCTCGTTGTTTTCGGAACCTGGCACGTTTCCACCCTTAGCTCGGTTCGTTTGAGCATATGTGAACACGGCAATCATGCCCGGATCTGCGCCAAAACAATCGATTGAAAAAGAACTCTGGAGCGGTTCGGTTGTAGAGAGAAAGCGATCCGATGGAGTAAGTCCAATGGTATGATCGGATACTCTGCTGCCATAAGACCCAATGGTCTGGACACAGACCTAGATGCTTTGAACCATTTCAAGCAAGATTACCCAAAATAATCACATACTGGAGGCAATTGTACCTGCTTTGTGCATGAGTTCAGATTCACCACCAGAAATATGGTTTGTTGCCTCAGCAACAGAACACCTTTCTAAAGATTTAGCCACAAACCTATGTAGCTGATCAAGAACCAATTACCAGCTTTTCCAACTTGGGTACAATCAGCCACCTATCGACGCCCTGAAGTCTCAGTTGGGTTTTGTTGGTAAACTTTCCTGAACAAAACCCTGAAGTAACTGAACAGCAGAGAACAACCATTCCATAGTTCAATGGTTCCCAACCGCATTACTAGAGTACCCCCAACACTGTTCATTTTGCAAGTCTCCTTCATCTGATACACCTGTTTCAGGTCTTGGAGTCTCTACTAATGAGCTGATGAGTTGAATCTGGTGTGTTTGATTAAGGAGACATGCAAAATGTGCAGTGCTAGGAACCCTCCAGGAACATGGTTGGGAATCACTGCCATAGGGAACATGAGGGGGACAACGTGCACAATGGGGAAACCTCTTGTTGCAAACACAGCATCATGGTTGTGCGAGTGAGGACGCGACTCCTGTGCTCCTAAGGTGTTGTTGCTTGGCAGACACAGAATGAGAGGGATGCAATGCCTCAGAGAGCAGTGTTATCGGCAGAAACCAATTAATTGGAGTGATTCTATGGGCTTCAGACAATTGTCATAACTGGGAATGTTTCCATAGCGTCAGCTACTGACACAGCATTGAGTGAACCTACGAAAGTAAACTGTTATTCTTGATGGTATCTGATATTTTATAGTGTCACGATTTTGGCATTAGTAGCATAATGTGATAAAATAATAACAGAAATATGCTTATCTGTTAAGATTTATGTCAGAAAAAGTAAATAAACATTAAAAATATATTAAAAAGATGAACTTAGAAGTAAAAAAAAAGAAAAAAGATGGAAACAAAACATAAACAACATTCACAAGTCTATTTTTACATGTTGGCAATTTATCTGTAGGTTATATAATATATCAAGTGTACAAAGAATGAATGTGTGTGTACAATAGTTGTTTACCATTTAAACAATAAAGAGGGACCATAAAATTGCATTATTTATTTAGGACTGCCCTGATTTAGTTATTTCACATACCATATATCTACATAAGCTGTATACTGCAAGACAAAAATAATAATAATTTACACACATTATCTTGTTCAGTTTACATCCTCTTGGTTTCTGATACAGCGATCAGTGACTGTTTACATGTTTTGTGAAAGTCCCTGCTGTATCCGAAGTAGGAACGATGCCTACTGCTCTTAAGGACAATTTTCCAGCCTCTCCTCATTCTTTGGATTTTCAACACTGTCTGCATATTTGAGTTCTTCCAACAGTTAACGTATGATGTTGAGATCCAGGTTTTCACATTTATGTTTGAGGGACTATTTGATCATAATTGATGATCAAGAAGGCAATACACTATATTAAGAATCAAGGTAATGTTAACTTTTGCAAACAGGATGATTAGTGTAATTTGTATTACATACGATCTTAAATCTCTTATGTTTGTATAAATTCTGCATGGATTTTTTAAAACAAAAATAAAATTCACTAAACTGGAAATATACACAGTATATAAACTGAAATTGAAAGTAAAATACATCTAATGTAAGGTTTAAAATATTTTCAATTGAACACCTCGAATAATAAGATTTAAAGTTACCCATTGATTTTGGATTGTAACCAATGAAATGTCTCTTTAAACTTTAAAGGAAACATTGATAGTGAACGGCTGGCGATCACTAGACAGCGAATTCCATATCGACTCGGTCGAGTAGTTGACGATTGGCTACTCGACAAAGGTAAAATCACTGATAAAACTTAAAGAATAATGTTTAAGTAGTTTTTTTTTTTAAATCTAAAATAAAGCAATAATTTAAACATTTAGTTAAATGATTTTAAATAGATAAATGTAGCTTGTAATAATTGTAATAACCTATTTAGTAATGTACTGATCTGTATGAACTAATTTATGTCATAAATTTTGGTTAAAGGGACTGTAGAAGTTTGAAGCTTGTTAAAAACATTTTTTAAAAATGTAATTTAAACTTTTAAATCATAAAATCACCAAAGTAAAATGATAATTTTGTTAATATAATGAATTGACAGACTGTAGCATGTGTACATGTGTACTTTTTTGTCATATGAATAAAAAGCCATAGTAACTAGATCATATGTAATAATCATAATAATAATAGTCATAATCAGCAATATAATAATTGATTTTATATATATATATATATATATATATATATATATATATATATATACACACAGTTATGTAGAGCAACAATTCTTTTTTTCAGATCCTCAGAGAGTTCTTTGCCATGAGTTGCCATGTTGACACATGGACATTAATGGCTGTGTGTTGAGTTATTTTGAGGGAACAGCAAATTTACACTGTTATACAAGCTGTACACTCACTACTTTACATTGTAGCAAAGTGTCATTTCTTCAGTGTTGTCACATGAAAAGATATAATAAAATATTTACAAAAATGTGAGGGGTGTACTCACTTCTGTGAGATACTGTATATATATATATATATAAAAAATTTTTTTTTAAATATGTATTGAATTATGAGTCCCTTTAAGAAAAATTTACATGTAGCTAAAAAAATGTCAAAACATCCACTGGGAAAAAATACTTTGAAGTGCATGTATAATCATTTGATCTTTTAAATGAAATGTGCAACTGTTTTTTTTTCTTGTTGATTTTAACTGAATTATTTTTCAGTGTTTGCTTTGTTTCATGACCACCCTGTTTACCTTTGCATCCATTCCAACTCCTCTTGCTAAAAGGCAGACATAGTTGTTATTGTTAATTTATAGTTCATACTGTGTTCATTATTCTTCACACCTACACAACATTAATATCAGATGAATCATTTAAGTGCATAAAGTCAAGCTGCCTTCAGATTGACTGTTAGCTGTAAACATCTGCCATGGATATGATTTTAACTCCATGACAACAGAGGCCAATAAAAAAATCTATTCTCCCTCTTTTACTTTAGATTCAGTAATGCTTAGCTTTACAAAATTTCACTAGTATTTAAAGGGGTGGTTCACTGTTTTTTTTTTCTAGGCTTGATTGTGAGGCCAATAAAAAAATCTCTTCTCCCTCTTTTACTTTAGATTCAGTAATGCTTAGCTTTACAAAATTTCACTAGTATTTAAAGGGGTGGTTCACTGTTTTTTTTTCTAGGCTTGATTGTGTTTATGGTGTGCAGTCTAAAATGTGTTAATGCTTTGTTTTTTTAAAAATTCATTATTTTTCACATAATTTACCTTTAATCCACACCGCTCTGTCCCTTCTCTGAGAAAAGTGCTGATCATTTCCAGATTTTAATGGTAGGCCTGTGTTTTTTGTTTGTTGTCTTATACTTTTAGATACGCTGTTATTTGTAAATGCTAATGCTTATGTTAGCTTTTATTATTATTACACTTTTCACTGATAAAAAGTCTTAATCTAATGCTCTGTATACTCATTTAATAGCATTTGTCTGATAAGCTCAGTTTCCCATTTCATTGATTTATTGTATGTTTATCATTCTGTGTGCAGTTAATCTGGAATTCAGCCTCTCTTTCCCTTGTCATCTGTTTTCCAGGCTACTGATGACTTGTTGGTGGCATCTGCTGAGTGCCCCAGCGACGATGAGGACATAGACCCGTGCGAGCCAAGCTCAGGTGGGTTAGGTTAGTAGGTTAGTCATCTCTTTATCACTACTTTTCTTTCTGACTGTGTCAGTCTCTCATTGTTTGTCCTCACTTTCACCTCAACAGTTGTGTCTGTAGAATGTGCAGATGCAGGTTTATGGAAGAAAACCTCCAAAGTACTTCTGCAGCAGTGTGTCTGTATCTGGTATTTTAAATATTAAAATGTACTTCTGTTTAGTGTTGTTTGGGTTGCTGCTTTCCCACACAATTGGCCCCATATCAGGGGGCCACATCAGGAATTTAAAGGAAGGTTAACGGAGTTTGCAATTGTAGATTAATTGCACATGCTTGTGTGTAGAAAAAAAACAACAGTGAATATGGAGACAAAATAATATGTAAACTATTAATAATGGTCTTGACTGAGATGAAGATAAAAGATAATAGTCACTAGTTAAGATTTTAGGTCTATTTTTTATAAATGGAAAATCAACAGTTTTTGCCATCCTGGACATGAGGTGAGATTATCTATAGTCAGTGCAATGCACTGTTACTGCCACCATTCTCTCATGAGACCAAAACATTAGAGTCATTTTATCTTGCGTTAGAGATTTTATTTTCAGTGTTGGAAGCAGCCTAGTAAAATGTGTGTGACACTAAGGCTCCATTCACACTTTAGGCAAATGTGGCCCAAATTATTATTTTTTGGCTCATATGTGACTAAGATATATATATATATATATATATACACATACAGGTTCGGCGCACAAAGTGAGCGCACTGATTTATTATTTTTTTTTTTTCTGAAAGTAATTTTCAGATGCAACGGGGGAAAAAAATGGGATAAACAAACATGAAACTTGTAAATAAAATAATCTGACATATAGCCTATGTACAATTTAATAACATATAGCCTAGTTTGATATATGAATTGGGTGTTCGTCAAAGATTGCATGCGGTCGGAGATTCCCGTGTTTACAGCTCCGTAAAATAACCTACTGGAAGCTCTGTAGTTTTGCTGTTCATTCTGTGTGCAGTTAATCTGGAATTCAGCCTCTCTTTCCCTTGTCATCTGTTTTCCAGGCTACTGATGACTTGTTGGTGGCATCTGCTGAGTGCCCCAGCGACGATGAGGACATAGACCCGTGCGAGCCAAGCTCAGGTGGGTTAGGTTAGTAGGTTAGTCATCTCTTTATCACTACTTTTCTTTCTGACTGTGTCAGTCTCTCATTGTTTGTCCTCACTTTCACCTCAACAGTTGTGTCTGTAGAATGTGCAGATGCAGGTTTATGGAAGAAAACCTCCAAAGTACTTCTGCAGCAGTGTGTCTGTATCTGGTATTTTAAATATTAAAATGTACTTCTGTTTAGTGTTGTTTGGGTTGCTGCTTTCCCACACAATTGGCCCCATATCAGGGGGCCACATCAGGAATTTAAAGGAAGGTTAACGGAGTTTGCAATTGTAGATTAATTGCACATGCTTGTGTGTAGAAAAAAAACAACAGTGAATATGGAGACAAAATAATATGTAAACTATTAATAATGGTCTTGACTGAGATGAAGATAAAAGATAATAGTCACTAGTTAAGATTTTAGGTCTATTTTTTATAAATGGAAAATCAACAGTTTTTGCCATCCTGGACATGAGGTGAGATTATCTATAGTCAGTGCAATGCACTGTTACTGCCACCATTCTCTCATGAGACCAAAACATTAGAGTCATTTTATCTTGCGTTAGAGATTTTATTTTCAGTGTTGGAAGCAGCCTAGTAAAATGTGTGTGACACTAAGGCTGCATTCACACTTTAGGCAAATGTGGCCCAAATTATTATTTTTTGGCTCATATGTGACTAAGATATATATATATACACATACAGGTTCGGCGCACAAAGTGAGCGCACTGATTTTTTTTTTTTTTTTTCTGAAAGTAATTTTCAGATGCAACGGGGGAAAAAAATGGGATAAACAAACATGAAACTTGTAAATAAAATAATCTGACATATAGCCTATGTACAATTTAATAACATATAGCCTAGTTTGATATATGAATTGGGTGTTCGTCAAAGATTGCATGCGGTCGGAGATTCCCGTGTTTACAGCTCCGTAAAATAACCTACTGGAAGCTCTGTAGTTTTGCTGTATAGACCTATAGATAAAAATATTAAAATTACAAAGACGCAATAACATTTTAAGTTACTTCAATTTCTGAAAAAAGAATGTAGGCCTAGTAATTGATGTTATAAATACACACGCCTGGTTTTTGTTTTAATTATCCATCGTAGGCTACATTAAAAAAAAACAAAAAAACATTTGCAATCAAGACTGAAAAAAGCCAGAAGTGAATGTAAACCAGATTTGGCCCAGACTCTGTTGCTATCTGTGAAGCCAAGCATAAGAATAGCCTACTAATGAAAATTTGTTAACCCACAGTAACACATTTTAACAGATTAATCGCATATTTTCGTTTGCTGCATGCTTTTAAACACACAATTTTAAGGAAATTTAAAAAAAAGATACGTCTCGTATAAGTTGCATTTTCATAAATAATAACGGCAGGCCTAATAATGTTATAATGTACCTGTCACGGCAGAGAAGAGTCAGGATCCAAGTGCGAGGGCAAAGG